AAAAAAATATATTTATGATATGATATTTAAAAAAATTGTAAAATAAAATATACCATAAATGGAGGGATGTCCTTTTATGTAATTTTATTTACAAACAGCTAACTATAAACAGCTAAAGTTGCCAAACACTTAAAATTTAACTGCTAACAGAAACAGCCGGTCAAAACAGCTAACTCAATCAGCCATTCAAATCAGCTAACATAAACAGCCAACTGTCAACTGCTAGTATCCAAACAAGGCCTTAATCAGAGACGGAGTACGCTACTCCGTGTCTCTTCAATTTAGATCTCCGTGTCTCCTCTTTTACACATATCTGAGATCTGTAAAACCAAAAAAAACGACGAGGGAGGGCCGACGGTCTGGGCGATAAACGACGAGGGAGGGACGACGCAAGGTAACGCCGGCAGACGACCCACGACCCCACCTTGACCGGAGTCAGCTACTCCGTTTCGGTGCTTGAAGGTATTTTAATTTATTTTTTTGTTAAATTCGTTCCAATGATTTTGAATTGTGTGAAAATATTAACGAATATATTGTTTAATTTTAAAAATTTGTTATTGTGTAAAATAAATATTTAGACCTAGATTGTATGTATAAGTGGTTACTTCATGATTTTTTTAAATATAATTGTCTTGTTATATTTTTATTAATTCTTATGTTGTAATCTTTGAAGCAAATGGATGTACATCCGGGACCTATTTTGAGAGATGTTTTAGTAATTGAAGCGGGAGACCATAGGTGTGATGCAGTTTGGGCCAGTGAAGAATATGCTAAAAAAGTACTCTGTATTAAAGTGTTACAGGACTTGTACTAGTTTGTATACGAGGACTCTTATTGTCAATAGACCAGTTCGTGCATTCACTGCGAGACATTTGCGGTGAATTTAAATGCACAGACATGTACCTGTGGAGATTGGGTAATATATCACATTCCGTGCATTCACGTTCACGCAGTATGTCATCAGTGTAGTGTCACTGTGGATCATTTGGTTCCTAATTTTTTTTTCACTCCAGTCCTACATCAACGCTTATTCGGGCATCCTAATGCCGCTTCCCGATGAGGCCGACTGGCCTACTCCAGGATACGAGATTGTGAGACCAACTGCACGAGCGAGAACACAAACCGGTCGACCAACAAGAACTCGCTACCCGAATAACATGGACTACCGACCACAACGATGTCGCAATGAACAATAGCTATATCATGGATTTCAAATGTCCAAGTTTATGTTTTCTGATTTTAACAAAATAAATTAGTTATGGACTTATGGCATGTGTTTTGTATCCTTAATTTTATGGATAAATTTTATGTACTCTATCAATAAATTTGTTGTAATTTACTTCTTATTTTTAATTCGGTGTATGGTGCATTATTTAAAGTCAATAAATCTTTATTTTATTTATGAATTTTATTGTTAGTAGATTGTTTGTTTCATTATATGTCAATAATTTGTTGATTTTTATAATTTTTTATGTTTTTCAAATATAAAGTAAATAATTCATTTTTAAAAAAATTAAAAAAAACAATGAACGGAGTTGGCTAATCCGTTTTCTAATTAAATAATTGGAACGGAGTTGACTACTCCGTTTGGCTATTTAAATGATTGGAACGGAGTAGGCTACTCTGTTTGTAATGAATTCTGCAGACGAAACGGAGTTAGCTAATCCGCTTTGCTTTATTTGGGAAAGTATATAATAAAGTTACATATAATGGAACACAAAACAAGTAAGTTACGCATGCAGGGAAATCACCCCAATTGTCTCACAATTTTTGAAGTTCTTACTACTAAGTCATGACAAATTTATAATTAAAAATGTTTTAAGATGAACATCATATTATTTTAAAATGAATACTATGTTATTTCAGAATAAATATATTAATCAGAGCAGACTTAGAATGAGTACACCGTTACTGCGTTGATTGAAAATGAAAATTTGTTGAATATATTTGGCTCTAGGTACACCTAAATATACAACATATGATCTCAATCAAAGGCTTTAGTTGTTGACGGTATATCACTACGCGAAATACTTTCTCTAACTCAAAGAGCTACTAGCTTGGGTTCTGATGAGCACGTGTCCAAGGACCAAGCCCATGGGCTCGATGGGTGGGTCGACTCGCCTGAACCGTGAGGCATGCACCAAAGTAGTTGGAAGATTGACACCTAAGGTGGAGAAGACCCGTAGAGAAGGTCTTAGTTGCCATTTGAGACTCGATCAATTCTCCATTCTCGCATAAAATTCTAACAAGAAAAAACTCAACTTGCAACGGTGGCTTTGTGATGTACTGATTTAGCTATGGAAATACTTGATTTTGTGACACGTGTAATCTTCGACGAAAATTCTATCGCAAAATGTGGCCTGCAACCATTAGATTTACTAAGAACTATGTATTTCGCGATCACCAGATTTGCGACGAATATTTCCTTCACAAATGAATTCATTTTCCATCGTAGATTTGGCCATTTTTTATGGTGAGTGGATTGCAATTGTTTGTGTGGACGCAATAAATACTCCCCCAAGAACACGTGAGTGCATCAATCAATTATTGAATTGATTTTATGTATATGGACTAATTTGAATATTTTTAGATAGTATATGAACTTCAACAATGACCTTGGAGTATTTTTGGCGGCTAAGAATAAATCTTTAAGGGGCAGTTACGGTCCTAGGGAGGCAGTGGCAGTTAAGGAGGCCCTTAGTTGGATCAAATCAAAAGGTTGGATGCAGGTAGAGATCAAAACCGATTGTAAGAAGGTTGTGGATGCACTGAATAACTCTTCTGATGATTGGTCTTATTTCTCTTCGATTATTACTGATTGTAAATCCCTATTGACTTCGTGCGATGAGATTTTTCATTTTACTTTGTTTATCGCTCTGCTAATGAGGCGGCGCATGTACTAGCGCGAGCTTCTCATTCACCTCAGAGCAGGAGAGAATGGAACATTTCCCCCCCTGACTTCATCATTTCATTAATATAATTTTATTCCCTTTACTTCAAAAAAACAAACATTTTTTTTGTTTTGAGTTACTCCTGAATCCTGATGATGAATCCATGAACCCATCTTTAATTTCTGACAAAGACATGGGCCTTAATTTTTACGAAATGATAGTAAATTTTGATTTGGGCCGAGATAGGGAACAAGCGTCTAATAGATACTCCGTATAATAATATTGGGCCCATTAACCCTAAAGGAACCCAAACCTTGTGTCGTCCTTCAAAACCCTCGATCGAGATAACGCTATCGCAGTTTAGCATCGCCACCGTGGGAGGGAGCGAAGGGAAGCGAAGATGGTGACGCTGAAGCTACAGAAGCGGCTCGCCGCCAGCGTTCTCAAGTGCGGCAAGGGAAAGGTCTGGCTCGATCCAAATGAAGTCAGTGAGATCTCCATGGCGAACTCTCGTAAGATCTCCCCCTCCGCTCTCAAACTTCGTGTTCATATGCTTTTCACTTCAAACATCAATTGAAATGTCTTTTTCTCTCTTGATCGGAGAAAGTTGATTAGAGCATATATCTTATTCGGATATTTTATTACAAATCCTTTGAATTTCCGAAATCGGAATCGACCTGTTTCATTTTTTATCTATCATGTTGAAATAAATGTTAGCATTCCGGTTATAATCTGTTCATTTCAAAATTATTATTATATTATAAGTCCAGGTTTTTTCTCATACAATTCGTTATGAATTTCATTGTTTAGTGATGGCCGGTGATGATGCATTTGTTGTTTTGGTTTGTAAAATAGTGGACTTCTTTGTGTACATATTTGTATGGAATCAGAATTATTGTCCTGTGTGAGCTCATAGATATTGTTTGTGTCATGGTTTTAAAAGAATATCTTTTCTATTGGACTGTGCTTAGGACAAAACATAAGGAAACTTGTGAAGGATGGGTTCATCATCAGGAAGCCAACCAAGATTCACTCAAGGTCTCGTGCTCGTAGGATGAAGGAGGCAAAGCGGAAGGGCCGCCATTCTGGATATGGTACTCCCTTCGTTTGTAGAAGGATTTATGTTTGTGATTGTTTTGTACATATCTTCTGTTGGCAGTATTATTTCAGTTTATGTTCATTGATCATATTTTATTCCTATACAGCATCACCATGTCGAAGTTTTTTGGTATCATGTTGGGGATGTTTCTTCTTATTGTACTTGGTTGAATTGTCATGAAAAAATTTCAGGTAAGCGCAGGGGTACTAGGGAGGCTAGGTTGCCCACTAAAGTGCTATGGATGAGGAGAATGAGGGTTCTGAGACGCTTGCTCCGCAAGTATCGTGAGTCTAAGAAGATCGACAAACACATGTACCATGACATGTACATGAAGGTTAAGGGTAATGTTTTCAAGAACAAACGTGTTCTGATGGAGAGCATTCACAAATCAAAAGCTGAAAAGGCCAGAGAAAAAACGTTGTCTGACCAGTTTGAGGCCAAGAGGGCAAAGAACAAGGCAAGCAGGGAAAGAAAGTTTGCCAGGCGCGAGGAACGTTTGGCTAAGGTATATTTATTTTCCATTTTATATTGCCCGAAGGGTCATTTTGGAACTCAGAAATGCTAGAAAAACAAAATTGGGTTAAAGATGTAACTTTGGAGGTAAAGCAAATGCCAGTGAAAATGTAACCTATGTTCAAACTAAATAAATACTCTGTATATTTTTATATTTGTTTATATCATTTTATTTCTCTAACCGTATTATATTAAGGCTTAGAAATCTAATCAGATGAAATTGTTTTATTAGTATCGATCATATTTCATATGTTGGGTGAAACCAAAAACTAGAAATGAACATTTCATTTCATTTTCTTGCTGTTGGCATTGGAATTTGATTGCAATACAATTGTTCTTTTCAACCACAGGGTCCAGCAGGAGAGAAGGAAGCTGCTCCGGAAGAAGCACCAGCACCTCAGACTCAAAAATCTCAGTAAGTTCTATTTATGTTCTCAATTGCCTCGCCGTATTTTTTCCCCGCATTTCTTTAACTAGGGTGAATTGTTCTTTGTGCAGGGGTTCTAAGAAGACCAAGAAGTAAATCCTTGGAAGTTGATTCCAAGGACTTGGTGGGTTTTTTTCAGTCTTTTGTTTTTAGAATTGCAATTAAGTTTATTGGCCACTGTTTTTGGTGTTTGGTTATTTTTAAGGCAGACTTTTAGCCTATATGTCAGTGAAAGTTCATGGATTTCTATTTACGCTTTTCTATCATGGAGTAATACTTTTAACATAAATGCTTTGGTTTCGTTCGATTTTGCGTTTATGGTCTCGTGTGTACTTTACACTCCGCGTCTTGGTGGGACCCTATTTCTCATTTTCCCCTACTAATCTAGTATGGTAGTGCTTTGATCAACTTATTTTTTCTGCTTATTACTTATTTTTATTATCGTCAGATTTGATTTATTTAAGATATGGCTTGGTCTGTTCCGATCTAATTGTAGTTATAAATAAAGTTGTTTTTGATTTTATTATAATAAGAATAAGTAAAAAGCAGAAAAATAAATTGAAAGGAATACTTTCTAAGACCATTTGGTATGAGGGTGATGGGGGGCGCGTTCTATTTTTTATTTCATCAAACTTATTTACGCTTTTACACTTAGGGTCTGTTTGGTATACGGAATTGATGGAATTAGAATTGAATTAAAATTAAAATTTCATGAGATTCAATTCTATAGAATTGAAATTACTCATTCTAATTCTATTTTTGCACTATTAATTTCGAATCCACATAATTTCTGTACTACCAAATACTAGAATTAGAATTGAAATTCTCAATTCTAATTCTATAGTTTGAATTATATGTACCAAACGGGTCTTTAATCACTCACATTATTTACACCGATATCACACATTTTTCTATAATTCCACATTATACACCTTTACATCCTACTACCACCATTTTTCTTTGATCGTGCCACATTACCTAGTGAGAATGGTATCTAGGAGCATACTATTTTGGTAGCGGTAATTATGTTCTAATCCCATGTTTTTATTATTTAATCAAACTTTGTAAACTGAAATGTGTTGAACTTTTTTTTGGATGGAGTGAGTAATGAGTATGTAAAATTTGCACTAAATAGGACTAAAACATAATGACTTTCTCAGTGTAGGATTTAAACTTTTTTATTCCCTAAATATTACTTAATAATGACCTCGTGAATGAATAATGTCCAGTAATGATGGACATTTATTTGAATAATGACTACTTGATAATGACCAAAAGTTCTACATTGGGAAATAAAAACATAAAGTCATATATTAGGAAAGTCATTATGTTTTAGTCCTATTTAGGTAAATTTCTCTAATGAGTATATCTATGTACTCCGTATTTTTAATTAAATGACTAACAAAAATAATCAGAAAAGTACTTATAATTTGATCTAATAAACACAATTTAAATTGGAACGGATAATGTATGGTATTGTTGGATGTTCTTTGATATTGCTTTTTTAAATATTTTGATATTCAGTGTAATTGGTACTCTTTATTACGGAGTAATAAGAATTCTTGATATTTTTATTGAGTATTTTTATTATAGGAGTAATTGCTTTCTGACATTGGTGTTTATAATATCTACTATTGATATTTATGTAAAACCATGGTAATGTTTATTTAGCATTATTGTATTTTTAAATTTATTTGATGAAAATATGGGTGTTTTAATAATTTTTTAACAGTAGATTAATTTTAAAAACTCTAAATATTCATTAGATGATCTTTTCAAGAAGCTAAAACTTAACGTTAAAGATGTCAAACAGACAAAATCTTGTGCATATTTGATTGATGTTTTTGTGTCCTCATGAACAATGAGGAGTACTAGACTAGTCATAATCAGATTTGTGTATCCACTAATACACGAAATGGCTTAATCAATACAATGGTCATTAAACAGCCGCCTATTCTAGGGTGGTCCTCAAAGTGGTGCCCTAACTTTAATTCATCTCATTTTTGTTCTTACAGACATAATTTTCCAGACATTAAAACCACATTTGTTTGGTGGGATAAAACTTGGGAACACCATTTTTGGGGATGAATCTTCTCTGCAATGGTCAAAAAAGAGAGCATGGAAGCCATAATGTACCTTGTAGGCTTGGCTTTACCCATTCACTTGGGAGCAGCCACATTCCTTTGCAACATAAGCTATATATGCCTATAGACTCCTTTGGTAGCGTGGAACAGTCGCATACATCAACCCATTGTCGCGTCTCGGGTAATGCCTATATTTGAAGAGATCATCGCCGCTGCCTTGGTTTGCTGCTCTTCCTCCTCGGGGTGGGGTGGGCCCCACAATTGCGGGCGTGTTCGGATAAATGCACGTCCCGAGTTTCACTATGAATGTTACCGTGGTGCCCTTCCGTGCACCCTCGCTTTCCACCCATATATGACCCCCCATCAGTTGCACAAATCTGAGATTTGTACTCATTGAGATTAGCATCTCCAAAACAAAAAGCATTACTCCGTATATTAATTGGGCAATAAGTTCTGGGGGTGGGGGTGGGGTAATGAGTCCACTCTCCCCTGCTCTGAGATGTAGTAATAAAAATAATTACCTTTTGCAAATGGCGAGTCCAAGACCGGCCCCACTGTTGCTTCGGTTTGAAGCGCTTCGAGGCTCTGTAAATTTGGTGAAAACGAACGGCATATCTTGAGGGCTAATACCACACCCAGAATCTCTTACCTGCATAAAGAGAATAGGCAGGGGGGTAAAATTGGTACAATAATGAAGGATATGCTCAAACACAATTTTATTTTGAGTATTTGTAGAAACTCACTTATCATATAAAGAGAAAAAATTAAAAGAAAGAATTGATCACATTTTGGTTTTCTTTCTTTGCATTTCCATGGTAGAACAAAGAGAGAGCCAAACCTGCACGCGTAGATAAAAGTAGCCCTCACAAGATGGAGGATAAAACTCAGAGTGCCGACCTCTTATGTAGTCTGGTTTGGCAACAGAAGCCTCTATTGAAACTTGACCTTCTCTTGTGAACTTAACAGCATTCCCGGCAACATTCAACAAGATTTGTGTCAGCCTTTTGGCATCTCCGGAAACATGGATAGGAACATCAAGAGCTAAAGATAAAGCCGTTGACAGTTTCTTCACTGCTGCAATAGGCTTTATCATATTCACAACCTGCAATAACATTCAGCAACCACCATCATTGTGTCAGCTCCTTGTGTCTGTGTTCTTGCTTTGTTCGTGCTAATGTGCTATGTAAGTGGTGTTTCTCTGTGTCTATAAGCACGTCAAAACTGTTTATAAGTAGTTTTTAACTTATAAGTCAGCTAATGTGCTTATAAGTCGATAAGTTGCTTATGAGGTAGATAAAAATGAGTAGGTCTTACCTACTTATTTTTAAACCGGTTTTTTCGTTTCTTAGTTTTGGCCAGATTATTTTCAAAATTGTTCCTCACCATTTATAAGTATTCCCACAAGACATATGTATCATTCAAGCCATTTTACTTCTATGAAACAATATTTGGCTTATAAGCAGCTTATAAGTTAAAATCTGCTTATCAGCAATAGGTCAATAAGCACTAGCACAGAGAAACACCATCTAAGTATACTCTTAAGAATTTACCTCTAGGAGCACTGCATGAAGATTGAATGTTCTAGTCTCCAATTCAAGACTACCATCTTCAAGTCTGGAGATATCCAGTACATCATTAATCAGTGTTGCTAGAAGATTGCTACACTTGAGTACAGTTTCCATCATAATCCTTTGTTCTGGATTTAAGTCTGTCTCTAAAAGCAGTGAACACAAAGATATGACCGAGTGCATTGGCGTTCTCATTTCATGATTCATCACGGATAAGAAGTCGTTGCGTGCGTGGATTGCCATCTCTGCCTCCTGCCGGGCCAAGTCCAAAGCAATGTTTTGTTGCATCAGCTGATCATGGGCCCGCATCGACTCCTCCAAAATCGCGGCATGAGAAAGAGCCACAGCAACCTGAAACAACATTTGGATTTGACTTAATATGAAACTTTGGATGTTCCATAACGTCATGCGTGCACCAATGAGGAATTATGTCTTTCAACAAAGAAGTATAATGTGAAACCAGTCAGGAGAAAAGATTTGGATAAAAACCTGATCGGCGACAACTTGGACTAGTTCTAGTTCATGTTCCCGCCATTTCCTCACGCCATTCATAGGGAGGATAAGAACCATAACAGCAAAAGTTTTTGCAGAAAGTTCAGGCCAGTCGTTTATTTGGAAATTGGAGAGATGTATAAGAGGAACACGAACAGCTGCAACTTCAGGAGGAACATGTCTCCCTACGTTAACACCAGAAGACCTAATCCTAGCCAGCTCACAAGAATGTGGAATCAATATTGCTCCCGGGCTGTTGAAAATATCACAGACAATCCCAAGATTTGTCGGCACTGTAGACCCAACCGGTATAAGGTTATTAAGAGTGTGCGAAAGCTGTAAAACAGTGCCTCTTTGAGACGGCATCCACAAAGCACATTCTGCCAAGTCTAAAGTCCTACCAAGCTCAACTAGGGTAGTTCTTAATATCGTGTGCCTATCAAGAGTACTCCTAATCTCATGAGTCAACATTCTAACATGCCTACCAGTCTCTTCTTGTTTGATTATCAGTCCCATTTCCCGGTCAAGCTCTTCTGCCCGTGTTTTCAAGAACGTCTCTCTTGTTTTCACACTCAGCAGGTCAGGAATGATGTGGACAAGCATCAAAGCAGTCGCGCACGAGACAACAGCAGTTGACATTTTGGAGATGGCCATCACTATGGCAACGGTCTTGGAGTGGGTGGAGAAAGTCCAGAGGTTTATCAAGTGGGTCGCTCCGCAGAGAACAATGAAGGCTCCAAATTGCATCAGAACCCATCTGTAAGGGAAACAGGCCGATTTGTGGACAAAGTAAATAAGCTCTAAGGGGATGGAGAAGTAAGCAAATGCTATGAAGAAATCTGAGATGTATTGGTATTTCACCAACAGCTCATCCACGGGGGGCAGGACCTCAACACAGTCACATGAATCCATCACCCAATACTTGCAGGAAAAAAAAAGATCTGAAAACCCGAATCACACAAACAAACGTCATAAGTAGAGGCATTCTGGTTTATAACCACTACGAGCTAGACTACGTAAGTGTTAAAGTATCCAACAATGGAAAATTAGAGAATGAATAATCAATTAATAAGGCCTTGGATTGAAGTAAACAATTGATTGGATTCAATCTTTTTAGGGCCCGTTTGGTGAAGATTAAACATGGTTCCTATTTTACACCTCCTGATATCACCACCCTCCCAAATGGGGTGTTTTAATTTGATATCTTTCAAATATGGGCGAGATATCGATTTGTGGGTTTCGGTATCTCCCTTCACCACCAACAACCCATCCATGTTGGCCGTCTCACGGCTGTCACTACTCACTAACAATCATCATTTCACATCTTCCCAAACACTTACATTTCAAATTTCAAGACTCATATACGGAGTATTTTTTTACAGGTTTCAGAACCCATAAACAACCCTTGATGCGATTCGGTCTACGTGTCTTATGACCCAGTTGAATGACTCCTACCCAATCACAAATTCTATGACTAATCGATTAAATTCAATCTTTTTTAGTTTCGTTAGACCCGTGTGCATTATGATCCACCCGAGCAACCGAGATCCAATCATGAATTCTCTCGCGAGAAATGCTAAAGCCTGCCTCATAGATCTGCTCCTACAAACCCTACTACTCCTTCAGCTACCCCACAAACAGGCACACCCAAATAAAACACAAATATGCACCAAACAGGCCGCAAAAGAATGGACAATTCTACACAATATATCAGCAGTGCAGGTACTAGCAATGGAACAGTAACTCAATTTCAGCTAAGATATACAACTGTTTTGCCAATTCATGAAAGATTTTTACTGAACCCAAACTCGAAAACCTATGAATTTCTGGGAAAAAAACGTACCAACCCACCCTCTCATTTCACCAAGAACACTCATTCCTGAGCAGGGATTCAAAAGACGATGAAAATAAAATACAGTAATGAGTCCTTAGAAGTACCTGCTGGTGCTGGGAAGATTAGACTATGACTGAGTTAATGGAGCATTGTTTGTTGGGAGGGAGATTACTCCAATTTGTTAGGGGACGAGAGAAAACGGCAGATATGTATAAAGTTGAACTCTCATCACGGAGTCAAAATATGAGTGAGTATCAAATTAAAGAGGTACCGCTGTCAAATCACGGAGTGAGATGGATAGACAGGGGAGGAAAAATCCGTGCCCACGGAGGGAAAAAGCAAAGAAAAATATGAGCAAACTTTGTATTTAGGACCATGCTACACTTACACCAAAAAATATACCTCATTTGTACACCACAGGTTTGCACAAACATTTCGATGGTTTACACCGACACAAGTGTTGGTGCGTTAATAAAAATTCACACGGACAGAAATGTTGGTGCATTTAACAAAAATTAGTTTTACACCAACACATAGTATTGGTGCAAAACTGCGGGGTACAAATTGGGGTACAAACCTTGGGGTACACATAGCATAATCCTTGTATTTATAACCAACTCCCCTTCACACTCTAACCATTTCCTAACTTTCTACTTTGTCACATCAACTTTTCTCAAATATTCCTCCTTTATTAGAGATGAGCATTATCTGTAGTGTGACATCCACTATCAAGGAGTTTTATGACTTAAAAATGGTAAAGTCATAAACTTCGACTAATCTTTACGCATTACCTAATTATTACTAATTTTTTTATTATATTAAACGTGAGATAATTGAGATGTAAAGATATATGATTGGAAGGAGTAAAATGATAGGCTCATTATAGATAGCGCCACTTCTTTTAGTTATAGCGCCATGGTGGGGTGCTTGGGGGCACCATATAGGTTTCATGGGCTTTAACACCCGCCACGGCCCGGTCTTATAGTGTGATATTAAAAAAATTAGACTCATTTTAATATATTATTTTGGAATAAATATAATATTATTTTAAAATATATTCCCTTGTTCCTAAAAAGAATAAGACTACACACACTTTACTATTCAAAAGTCACGAAATTTGTGTTTATTCATATATTTTAATTGATTATTTGATAAAATAAAGTATTCTTGTCAAATCTTATTTTGTAAAACTGTTGACGTAGTTTTTAATCATGTGAGTTTTAATTTTTCATTTATATACTAATCTCTAAATAAAATAAATTGAAAAAAATGAAAATTCACTTTGTTTTGCATAACGTGTAAAATATTTTGAGACGAATGCAACATACATTACGAAGTACTACATAATAGAGAGTAGTTAAAACAACATATTAAAGACTATAAAATGTCAAACATTAAATATTTAGGGGCGAACAGAGTATGTAGAGCCACAAGATTGTTGTGTGTATGACGTAGCAATTTTGGTTAGTTGAGAGCTATATTATGGCTTTGTTTGAGAATAATATTTTCAATTAGCACTAGTATTCTAGATAACTTTGGTGTTTTTATGTGCTGGTGCTTATTGATCTATTGTTGATAGATAGTTTTTAAATTTTAGTGATGTAAATTAATTTTGTAAATGTTAACGCTAAAAGCTACCATCAGATAACTTTTTCAAAACGCTAGCTTCTAACGTTGATGTCAAACGAGGCCTATATACTCGGATAGCATAATTAGATAAATGAACAAAAAGATAAAAAAGAACGTATACTTGGCCCTTGAAAAAACATCTAGTGTAATTAGATATAGTAATAACTACCTTAAAATATTATCTGTTTAAAATTTTATTAAAAAGTATATAATATATCGGTGGGGTTCCTATGACATGGAACCCCATATCATGGGATTACCAGGGGGCGCTCTGTGTCCGTTTGTAAAATTGACAGTTCCTACCACCTCTTAATCCCGCCGGTAAATCCCCCACCCTGCCCTGCACCGAACACCCTCTCCCCCCTTTCAATATTATCTCACAAGTTGATTTTGACTTTGTAGTCAAATTTTGATAATGTGACACTATATATAGATATTTCATAATACTTTTTGATATTATACATTGACATATTTGACTTTATAAATGCATTTAAATCGTATTTAGAAAATATAAAAATGGAACTAACGTTTTACGTATTTTCCTATATCTTACTCGTGTAGTCGTGTTCTAATCTTTTTTTTTTCTTTTTCTTCATTCAAAAATAATTATCCTGGACCATTATTAAAATGTAACGTTCGAATGACATATTAAACGTCGAATTGGGCAGTGCGCAAATTACAAGGCGCATCCCAACATAGTAACATGAACCCGGCTGTAAACGGATAACCGAAAATTCGATTACCGTCCGCATCCGTATCCGTTTATATGGAAAATATCCGCATCCGTTAAAAGCGGTTATTATTCGTATCCGATTAAGAATATCCGATTGCTAAACGGATACGAATTCGGTAATCATACATCCGATCCGTTTATAATCCGCTCCGCATTGACATCCGTTTAAATAACCGTTTATCCGTATATCCGATCCGTTATATATAGTCTTTCCTAATTTTTTATTTTTATATTTTGTTTCTCTATAGATATCTCAAAGTATAAGATATTTTTATATGCAAAATATATGTGTAAACACATAAAAGTATGTGTATATATGTACTGTGTATATCATTTTATGATATGAAGTCATCGTAGGATATCATAAACTATAAAAAATAAGAAAATTAATATCCCATAAAAATTATAGTTGATTTAATAATATTTTAATTTAGTTTAATTGAAAATTCAAGTATTATTTAATTTAGTTTTAAAAATTGGAAACGGATACGGATATATCCGATATCCGACCGGTATCCGACGGATGCAGATACGGGTTTGATTTTTCAATATCCGTCTAGATCCGTATCCGAATTCGATATCCGACAAAAATAAACGGATGCGAATTTGGTAATGGCACATCCGATCCGATTAAAATCCGTTTACACCCCTTCATGAACGTGCAAAGACCTGACATTATGTTACTCCCTCCGTCCCAAATTATTTGTCACATTTCTATTACCGAGACAAAATATCAAATTTTTTCAATTCATTTTATTTACATATTGGTAAAGAAATAAAAAATAAAAATTACATATCAAAAAACTACATGAAAAGTTCTTCGAAATAAGAGGTGTCAAGAACATTTTATTTTATCAAATAACCAATGAAAACGTAAAAATAAACAAAAGTTTCCGCGACTGTTGAAGAAGCAAATGTGGCAAATAATTTGGGACGGAGGGAGTATATATCTTCCATGGCACCCAATATTTATTTAATTCAACTACTGCAAAAGTTTTGCAGTCCTATGCTGCACATAACTAAATTTTGGAGTCCTTTGTCACGGAGTATTTGATTTTTTTTGTAAAACAAATTCTATTCGTATACTCTCTCCGTCTCAGAGTATTTATCCACTTTCATTTTTACACACCATCAAATGCACTTCTTTAATCCATTTTATTTTGTAATTTGTATATTAAAAAATTATAGAAATTATATATTAATAATCTATATGTTACGACAAATCAAACAAGATCACACATGCCTATATTTAGGCTTACACATTGAGAGAATTTGATGAGTCAAAGTGCTTAGGTGAACAGTTCGAAAAGTCAAAACTGGACAAATACTCCGGGACGGAGGGAGTATGTATTAAAATAATGGGAAGTTTAGTTTAAGATACGTTAATGTTACTATGTCATACCATTTCGTAAAATGGATATATCTTGTAATTTGTATATTAAAAAATTATAGAAATTATATACTACCTCCGTCCCAAAAAGATTTATACGTTTTGACTAAAGTTGAAATTAAGGGAGAGATAATTTTGTGTTGACTTTCCAAAAATACCCTTGATGTGATGGATAAAAGTAGGATGTGATGTATAGATTATTAGGAAAAAGGTATGATGTGATAGGTAGGGTTTGAAAAAGTAAGGGATAAAAGTGACTTTTTAATAGAAATGGGTAGGAGATTGTGGGACGCAATTTTTCTGAAAGGTGCAAATCTTTTTGGGACGGAGGGAGTATTAATAATCTATATGTTAAGACAAATCAAACAAGATCACACATGACTATATTTAGGCTTACACATTGAGAGAATTTGATGAGTCAAAGTGCTTAGATGAACAGTTCCAAAAGTCAAAACAGGACGAATACTCCGGGACGGAGAGAGTATAAAGTTTGAGACATTTTGACAATTTGATACCTAGGATTATAGAGTGAAAAATTAATGTCTAAAGTAAAATAAAAGTTGTGGAGTGTTTGACTTTTGTTCATAGACATTTTGTTTTAACAAATGGTGTTATTCATCATAATAATGTCTAAATAAATTTTAATTTTTCTCTAATTTGCATTATTTTGAACTTGCAAAATCAATTTGGGCCTTTTGTTTAATAGAGATACTTTTTCATATATAGCTTTTTTATCTCTCGTCATGTAGGTATTTGATTGCAAGCTAAACATGTAATTTCACATGAACCTTTTAGTATTATTGCCATAGCCATTGCCAGAAGTCGATACTGATGTATGTGTCGACCGAAATCTAAGTCCGCAGCCATAGACAATTTTATAGTGTTGTCCGCAAAGCCAACACTAGAATATATGGTCGGGCTTAGGGTTGATGCAAATCATGCAATATTACACTTTTAGCTCTTAATTTAACACAAAATTATGAAATGACAAGGACTATTACTTCTAGAAAACTACTAACAAACAAAAAATTACAAAAGTAATATTTGCCAATAGATGACTTAATATAATATGGAAAACTCTCGTTTTTAAAAGACCGAGCATATAAGTTAAATTTTATAAACGAATCACATTCATCCATGTGATACTCCAATATCGATCAAACGGTTATATAGAGAAAATTGATGAAAAAATGAATAGACTTATAACATTAGTCTTACAAATAAGGAGTCTTAACTCTTATCTAACAAATAAAAAGGTGAGTCTATCCTTTGTATCTTGGTAAATGTGTCACATATTTGTCTTTCATCATTGCGAAGAGTCAAACATTTTCATTACCCAGTATCATTTTTTGTGTGACAATTTAGTAATTCTATATGAGTACTTAAGGAATTTGGTTTTAATAAACCCTAGTATAAGAAATCATCGAAACAGAAGTAAAAATTTCGCACTGTGACATTATATCACTTTATAGTGGCATCTCATTGTATATTTTGATGTTATATATTGGCATTATTAACATTGACTTTATTTTAGGAATAAATAACATTCAAATCTTATTTTGATACTTTCTTCATGTTTTACTCTTAATTTAACTTTTTTTCTTCAATAGGATGTACTTGCATACAAAAAAGAAGTCGATTCTTTTAATACTAAAAATCACTGTCATAATATGAAACTGATTTATTTGAAAAACTTACTCTGCACTATTTGAATTAGAAATGTTTTTTTTCACCATAAATCCCCCAAATCAAACATGAGTGGCTTATTTTAAATAAATTCAAAACTAAATAAATGAAGATTATGCTTCCTCAAAAAAAAAAAGGAGATTATGCATTCAAATTTTTAGTTCATTTGTTTCTACTTATTTTTGGGTAGGTTAAAAAGAAGCCTTTTTTTATGGAACAGAATCAAGAACTGATTTTTGTCTAGAATTTGGTAATATGTGGATTCCCCGTCCTAATTGCCAATTTGCCACTCTCAATCACTCATTTTCCATTTCGCTCCTCAATATCAATCAGCAGTAGTCCAGCAGTGTATCATAAAATTACAAAACACCCTCTTCTTCTTTCTTCTTCTTCTTCTTCTTCTTCACTCTGCTCGAGACTGTTTGAAAGCTGCCGGCAGGGCGGTGGTGGACTGGCTGTCCTCTTCTTTTCTTCACTTAGTGAAAAGAAGAAGACCCAAACTCCATGAAGGCCCTTGTAAGTACGTCGCCGTTTGTGATTCTTCTAGTAACAGTAGCCCAGTTTCCGTTTCATGGTCTTTTTGTTTTGTTTGTTTTTTTGACAAATTTTTTGTTTGAAAAATCTGTACTTTTCTGCTCTTATGAAGATTTGGAGCCCCCCTGTTTGAAATTGAGCTCGCAGAACTTCTTGTACGGTCATGTTTTTTTAGATTTCTTGAGAATTTCAAGAGAGATTGTAACTTTCCCAGCTCCAAGATTAATTCTTTTTACGATCTACTCCGTATTTTGATACGGGAGCTGATCTGTCATTCTTGTGTGTTTTTGGGTGCACCGTTTGATCCACATTGTGCTGTGATTTCTGACGGGGGGAGAAGAAAAACGCAGATTCGAGATTTCGAGATCTTGCTATTTCCTCTTTTGCTTTGAAGGAAATAGTTAATTGGAAGAATTTGGATTTGAGATTTTACTCTTTCAAGCTTTGTTTCCATTTACTGTTTTTTGCAGAGTTTTTTTTTGTACTTTTGATCTTGAACCAATTTTGTGCTCATTGGCCAGACAAGTTAAGTTCTTTACATGCGGTTCAAATAGCATCTTGAGAATTTCAGGGGAACAGTTGGCATTTCTCAAAAGCAGTAAAATGAAATGGTGAAATTCCATTTACCTTTTCCTTTTTGACTATCTTGATTATTCTCCACAGGTATTACTGCTTTTGATATTGTTGTTGAGTGAAGAAGCCATCGAACACACAGAAGCTCAATTTGAAGGAGAATGCAATTCCAGCACACCTTTGCTGCCCAGACCTCACAGTGCGTCTGTATTGGATTTTGGGGCCGTGGGGGATGGTAAAACATTAAATACCCTTGCGTTTCAAAACGCAATATTTTATTTGAAGTCATTCACGGATAAGGGCGGAGCGCAGCTCTACGTTCCAGCAGGTAAGTGGCTGACTGGAACTATTGATCTTACCAGTCACCTCACTCTTTTCTTGGAGAAAGATGCCATTATTCTTGGATCAGAGGTTAGGATTCAGAACTCAAATCTGTTCTTGCTTTATGAAACTAAAGATTATATCCAATTTTCTACGTGGGCTATTATTCCGAATTGATCATTGAAGTCAAAATTTTACTCTGCACCCCTTCCTAAAGCTTATGGAACCATTCCTGGAGAAAGATTCCATTTTTATTTCCTATAAAAATTAAATCTTTTTTACTGGTATGGTGTGGTCCTTCAGAAACTACTTGTACGATCTGCCATAGAGATGTATGGTGGCTTTACTTTCGGAATGTTATAACAGGTTTTCCACAACTGCAGTTTTGAAATGGAAGCGAAAATTTAGATTTCTTCTTGTATTATCTTCTTGCAGGATTACAGTCATTGGGATATAGTTGATCCATTGCCATCTTATGGGAGAAGTATTGAGGTAACTGGCGGGAGATATCGTAGCTTGATTACTGGGACCAATGTAACAGATGTTGTAATAACAGGCAAGAAATTTCTACCCTGATATGATCAATTATATTGTTGTCATTTAATATTGGGACAATCAGTTTTGAGCTTATTTGGCTGAAACCAAAGTTACTAAACACTTCAGCCAAATTACCCTTACCAAACGGACCCTTAATTGATTTTCTTCATATCTTTCACCTTGCATATGCTTATTTATTGTGCAGGCAATAATGGAACTATTAACGGTCAAGGATCTGTGTGGTGGGAAAAATTTGATAAGCATGCCTTAAATTACAGTCGCCCCCATCTAGTGGAATTCATTAGTTCAAGTTATATTGTTATTTCAAACTTGACATTCTTGAATGCCCCTGCTTGGAACATTCGCCCAGTGTATTGCAGGTACTGTATTTAATGTGTCTTAATCTGTGTGTAGAATTTTGTATAAATTGTGTGCTTTTAGTTAGGCTTATATAGAATTATTTACTCTTGTGCAGTAATGTGCTTGTTCAGAACATAACAGTTCATTCTCCATCCAAGTCACCATTCACTAATGGCATTGTCCCAGGTTTCTTAAAATTATTTGGCTTTATATTATCGAATCCTAGGGATGGTCATCTGTTTATTGTAACTGTTTTTTGTCCTTAATTTGTGTTACTAATGAGTTTACATTTCCATGCATCATAAAAGTTTCCTGTATAAAATTTAGAATCTCATAAGAAAACTTTGAGCATTTCGGGTACAATTCCAGATTATGCTTGCTTACCGGCATGTAAAAAATTGATCTTTTTTGTTCCATACGAAAATGTAGTTAAAATAAAATGGTTATGGTCATATTTTAAGATTTCTTTTTTACAAAATTTTATTGGAAAAATTGCTCTACCTCAGTAATTTCTAGGATTTTCCCTAGAATCTTACGTTCTCAATTAAAATAGTCATATTTTTCTCACCATCTTGGATTTTTGTTGAGGGGTATGGTCTACGTACACACACCCTCCCCAGGCCTTACTGTCCTGTTGTTGTATTCAGTTTAGACATCAAAACTTGATCTCACAACTTATACCTATATTCCATACCCTTTATTCCTTGGTGATAAGAGATGAGAGTTTTGATGCAGATTCTTCCAATCACGTCTGCATTGAAAGCAGCAACATTAGCATGGGCCATGATGCCATTGTGCTCAAAAGTGGTTGGGACGAGTATGGAATTTCCTACGGTAAACCTACTGAAAATGTCCACATCAGAAAGGTTCGCCTGCAGTCTACTGAGGGGGCTGGTGTGGCTTTTGGCAGTGAGATGTCCGGTGGCATCTCAAACGTACTCTTAGAGAACATTTTCCTCTATGAATCTCTTCTGGGAATTGAACTGAAGACTGCTAGAGGAAGGGGTGGTTATGTCCAGAACATTCTTCTCTCTGGCGTGGCAATGGAAAATGTGGAGACTGGAATCAAAGCTACCGCTTACGTCGACATACACCCAGATGATGGATTTGACCCTGCTGCATTACCTGTGCTCAGCAATATCACGTTTAAGGACGTAAACGGAACAAATGTCTCCATGGCTGGAAATTTCACTGGATTACCTGAGTCACCATTCACTTCAGTGTCCCTCTTGGATATCCAGTTTTCTGTTTTACCCCACCCTACAATACCAAAATGGGTATGCTATGCCGTGTTTGGTGTTTCTTCAAATGTGTCCCCTGAACCTTGCCCAGAGCTTCAGAGCCCAATTCCCATTGCGTTCATGTGATCATCATCATCATCCCAAAACTTCTCATTCTTGGAATCTGTAAAATGAGTTGAAATTCTTTGCTGGTGTGTATACTCCAAATAAAAATGTGAATCAGGAAGGTGTGAGGCAAGCAAATGCTTCAAAGTGGAATTTACATTGCAGATCACCTCTGTACAGCATCTGTTTGTTTGATGTAAGAAAATTTTTGGTAGTCAAGTGTTCATTCATGTGCCTTGTCCCATTTATTTCCAATCTTTTTAGTCTTTTCAGTTTCTTTTTACGGAGTACATTGTAAATTTAGGTGTGGGAGATTTGTGTGGGTTTCAAGATGTGTGGAATGAAGTGAGATATTGTTGCAATAAAAATGTCATTTTGTGAGAATTATTACAGCTGTGTATTACATTGTTACAATTTCTTGGCAGAGCACATAAAAGAAACCAGAACTTCTGTAACCATGTGATAATTACAAAAAGAATTGGTAACTAAGTACATCTGATGCTATGGTATTAAATAAATAAGTATATGAAAAGAAACAAACTTTGTCATCACTTTCATTAGCCAATAGGCCAAGCAAAGCAGCATCACAGTGGAGGGAGGTAATAGATTAATAAATCAAAATTTACTTGTCACTGTCTTCCAAACATGGTATACCTTTTTGCACACTGCTTATCTCTCAAGGAAACACTCAAAAAAAAAAAAATATACAGGCAAGTGGGATGGGCTGTCATAGTCAGTGATGCATATGTACTTGTGCAATACAAAGAAATAAACAAACATACAAATCAAGTGAAAGCTCTACACAACAAACCCCTATCATCTCTCAGTCACTCACTCCCCAATAATAAAAAAAACAAAATAGACAAAATAGAACAAATAAAAGAATCTTAAAGAATTCCCTACTTTCTTTTTCCACCCCCATTGCAAGGCTTTCTTGAGTGCTGTGAAGGAACCAATCTGTTAGGGGTGGTCCTAGGTTGTTGTGGGCTCTTCATCAGTTTCATATTTGGTCTTGGGGGAGTTGTTGTTGGTGTTGACCCCACACCTTTGCCAAATTTAGAATGGTTGAACCGCCAAACCAAATCTTGTTCGGACGAGTCGCTTGTTGCAGCATCAAGTTCATCCAAATCATCCGCGGTAGTGAGGTCGAATTGATTGCACGTCTTTCTTGGGAGTGGTCTGAAGGAATCTGTGAGGTATTTCTGATAAAAAACATCATCGGATTCCCAACCTCCAGACGGGCTTTTAGTGCCTTGCAATGTTTCTGGTTTGTTCACCATCACCTTGTCCACCCACTCACCGAGGCCACCATGCTGCTTAATATTGTTATTAGTATCTCTATAGTTTTTCTCACTTGGACTGCTGACTGGTGGCCACAGTGGAGAATTTCCTAGCAGCTCATCAAGGTCAAAGTGTTGTCCCTTTTCCCTTAATCTAGGCTTGTTTGCCTACAAACAGATGACCATTAATGTTTTGAACACAGAAAATGTAAAGGGGATGAATAAATTACTCTCTTATGTTTAGCTTTACCTTTAAAAATGCAGAGGAAGATGAAATATGATTCATATTTATTTTAAAATCATATACTTATATTAATATTTATTATTTATATAATAGTTCTAAACATAAAACTATTTTGAACAACTTATTATATAATCCCATCTAGGAGAGTCAATATGTAAGCATTAATCAACTTTATCCATGTACAAAACATTGATGTTTTTGTTAGATATGCATTGTTGCATTTACCGCCCAAAACTTCAAAGTCCGTTATTCACCCAAAAAAACTATTTTGGACACAATGGACACAATAAAACTATTTTGGACAAATAACTAAAATAAATTTATTGAGTTTGATTGTATCTTTGATATTTCCTTCATACTTGATATATATCCTTCTCATTTTCCTATCAACATTCTTTTCTGTTTTATTTCCCTAGTTACCCAAAGAAAAAGCGTCAAAAATCAAGTCTACCAAGGAAAAGTACCTCGATGCAATCTACATCTCCCATTAGTTTCCTGCGAGCATTCGAAACTGCCACTGTCTCCTTCCCAAGCAAATTAGGTTGGTAAGGTGATGATTGGATGTTATGTGGACTGCCATGACGCGTATGTTGTATGGAGACCGGCTCTGCTTCTTTCTTTGCCAGTGCAGCCTTCAGACTGGCTATCTGATGCAGCAATGTGATAATATAATAAGCACAGTCGAACCGTCACTATTACTATAGAAGGTAAAGAAAGAGAATAGGAAATAAATGAATGGATAATTATTTCCAATGCATTTTCTTTGGTTTGGTAGGGTGGGAAATACTCCCTCTGTCCCAAAAAAAGACTTCCCATTTCCTTTTCGGGACATCCAAAAAAAGACTCCTCTTTCCATTTCCGGCAAATTTTGTGCGGCCCAACATCTTTCTCTCTCCTCTGCATCACTTTTAACCACACAATTTCATTTTTCTTAAAATTTGTGACACGTGCTCCTTATTTCTTTGGCAACTTTACGTCAATATTTTCATTAATTTTCTCTCTAACCAAAATGTAGTATGTCTAACATAATACCTGTTCCTTGAGTTCTTTCACATCTGCAGAATCTTTGTTCACCCTCGCTGCACCGAGTTCCACACCAGCTACTCTCTCCGCAAATTTAAGGGTACTAATTGTTTCTCCAAGAGCATCAGGTTCAGGGCTTATGTGGACAAACATCAATGTTTTGGCATGTCCTCCTGAAAAAGTTAGGAAACAAGACAATATTCTTCAAGGTTAGATCAGTAACAATATTTGTTTTTTGGCTGAAACATAAGAATTTTCTGTCCGAAAGGGCAATGTCTACTTCAGCTAAATAAGCAAGTCAATAATTACTTATATTCTGCTAACAAACAGAACAAGCCGATAATGGATACCAAACAGAGCCTTGATGATTTAACTATATCTATCTATCTATTCTTCAGCCTCACCAAGTGAATCTTGGAGCAGTTGTGTAAGTTTGCTGTTACGGTAGGGGATATGTGAACTCTTCTGAGCCAGTGCAGAGATGACATCACCCATAGCAGAAAGAGATTTGTTAATGTGTTGTGCCTCTTTAAGTCTCTCCCCTGTGACTTGAGATTTGTCCACCCTCTCACTTCCGGCAAGATCAACCAAATGCATGCAACCGCGAAGAACAGTTCCAGTAGTCAAATCTTGCCCACGAACATGAACAGTCAAGCAACTGTACATGTAGAGTGAGCATATATTGTTAAGCATATGATCCTTGGATTAGCTACATAAATAGATTTTGTGTGACACTCTTGAACACATAAAAAAATTAGAGAGAGAAAAAATAACCTGTGAGAGCGGCTACTATGGTCATTAAGTGCCGTTGCTCCTACAGAACGATTTCGCTGCCCTATTTTCATCAGATCAATAACATCTAAAGTTGAAGCCACACGGGCCACATTAGCATCCGGCACAGTCAGTCCCTCAGAGCACCTACGGATTTCTAATGTAATAACAGATTAAGGAAACTTATAATGGAAAAAAAAGGCTTGAACTTTAGAAAGAAAGAATGCAGGGATTATGTGTAGATGAACTATATGTGCAACATGAAACAAGAAGTAATCTTAGAATGACACAAACAAGTGAAACCCAGAAAACTTTGCGCAGACTATTGAGGATATCTTTTGTTCAACCCATCAGAGCCAAGGAGGTCCCTAACTTGCTCATTATAGATCTCGATCATTTGAACAAACACGTCATAGTGGAAAGTGTCCTTTCTTTGTTCTGCAAGAAGGAATAAGTCACTCAGTGCCCTGAAGTTCACCCCTTGGGTTTGATCTGTGAGCTCTCTTGGTCCAGTCTATACATGCAAACATAAAAGTCGGTATTATCAGTAGTTCAGTACAGACAACATGAAAAAAAACATAAACTCTAGTTCATATCTAACCATGGTATAAGTTTTCCCTGATCCGGTTTGACCATATGCAAATATACAAACATTGTAACCATCAAGGACTGATCTAACTAGTGGCTGTGTGTCTGAAAACACTTCCCCTGTTAAAAGAAAAATTATGTTGAATTAATAAAAGCAATAAGTATCAAAGCCTTTCAACCAAGATGTTTACTAATTGTTAAAGTATAGAAACAATCCATTATAGAAATCTTATTGGGTATACGCCCATCATTTCTCTATAACTCTATATAAGGCATTGAATAATACTATAATAGCTTTGTCCTAAGAGATTATGAAGTTGTATGATTGTATGTTAAAAGTAATATCAATAAAAGCAGTAGTTTTTTGTTTAACATCAATTACCAATACCAACCTTGAGTGACAGATGGTCCAAATACTTTGTTGAAATTGAAAGCCCGTTGTCCTTTCCCATGCCTTGATGGTGTGTTAATTGTAATTGTGCCATCTTCAATCTGGTCTATGGTACTACTAAAATAACTTGATTGTCCATGCAAAAAAGGCCTTACTCTACAGTAAACTCTTATGCTTCCTGAATGAAAGTCAAAAGTACAACCATTTCATTTAAAGACTAAAAGATGACGCAAATTGCACGGTAAGACTTTCATTGAAATGACATCGGTACCCTTAAGGTCTTGGACTTGATTGTAAAGCTTACGGTTTTCCTCAAGAACTCTATGATAACCTGAAGCTGCATGGGCTAAGCCATGTATGTGCAGGCCTACAAAGCAAGATATGAAATTTTAATGCGAATTCGAAGCCCAACTTAGGAAAATGTCCTGCAATATAACACCTACCAACTTTGTTGATTTCCTCATGAAACCTCATTTGCATGAATTGTACACCCGATTTTGTAGTGGAAAGATTTTGTTTCAACTCCTACATTCGAGTTAAAAAAAATGTCAAACTAATATTGTTTCTATCAAACTCGAAACTTGGGAGCATAGTGAGTTTTTATGCCTTCTTACCTTCAGACACCTCTGTTGTTGGTCAACAATGATTTGGTGCGTAAGACATCTTCTTTGAAGTTCTTCGTCAATGATATTATTGTTCTTCTGAATATCCTCTTTTTTTGTCAATGTAATGTTTCTGTGTTCAACCTTTATCCAAAAAAAGATGAATATTCCATGCGTAGTTGAGTTTACACAAATGGATGATAAAACATTCAAATCCTCTACTTTTTGGATAGTTATGGAGCCTTTTAACATACATTTGTTAATTAATACTACGTACTTATTTACAAGTAATATTTTCGCACAACCAAATCAACAACCAAAATCCTCCTCGAAACTCACTAATAATACAAGAGAAATGATTACCTTTGGAATCCCAACAGTTTGTTTTGAAACTGGCTTATTAACATGAGAAACAATCGAATCCTTGAGATTTGCTCTTCTTTGCTGGATATGTGCATCAAGAAGTGCATCAGATTATCTACAAAGTGAGAGGTGAAATATACAAAATGCGTGCACAAACACTCGAGACAGCTGATAACTCTCTTTTATTTGGGTTCATACTAACACAAGAAAGAAGGAATTACAAATGGAAGTCAAGAAACTTGCCATGTCAATTTGGCTTGCAATGCGAAGATCAAACTCCTCTACAACCTTATTCAGCACAGATTCCACAAGCTGTGACAAACAATAGAGAAATAATAATAATAATAATAATAATAATAATAATAATAATAATCATTATTATTATTATTATTATTATTATTATTATTATTATTATTATAATAGTAATAACAACAACAACAACATTAACTCGCAAAATCATCACCCTGAATTCCTAATAGGTGAGATTTAATTCACACACTTATATGCTAGACTCCAACTCAATAGAAATTTGAGTACGGTATCATAAGAGTGGAAACTCACATTCGGAATCTCTTCGGGCTTCTTATCCAAAAGAACTGAATGAACAAGCATGCCAAGAGAAGAGCTAGGCTGCAGTAAAATGTTCAATAAACTTCGGTGACGAAAGAAATAAACTTTAATTCATTTTGGCAATGCACTAACTATACCGGTCTATTAGTCTCAGTCTCAGTTCCTTCTCCCTTCACAGATTTCTCGTTCCCAGTCCTTGACGAGGAGCCCATGAATGGCTCCGTATTTCTGCGCGAAATTGGCTTCAAACACACGGTATGCTTTGCAGTCCCCCCAAATTTCCAGATGCCAATTCCACCAGACTGTTTCCACTCACAATAGGATTTGAGACCCAACACACAGTTCACAATCCTCGAAGATGTCCCGCCCTGATAAATTACCAGTTTATTAGGCCATAACACATGAGATGTTTTCTTCTCTGATTCAGATTCTTGCACTTACTTGTTCAAGATCAGATGCCTCAAAAGTGGGTATTCCCAAAGCTTGCACCGCCACCAGAAAATTCCTAACATTCTCAAAGTACTGATATGCAGACAAAGCTGCTCCATCAGGGAGCAATGATGCATCACATGGGTTTTCAACCACCTGATTGGGATTTCGATGAAATTCAATCAGAGCAATCTTTTCATAAAATAACAAATCAATTTAAAACAAAAGCCAACCTTAGGAACTGTCCCGGGTTGAATCTTGTTGAGCACATTGCAGAGAATAATGCCACTCCTTAGGCCAAGCCTGAGTTCTTCCTCAGATGGCTCTCCGGGCAACTCCTTTGCCCCAGAAGCCATGTTCCTCAGCCATGTTGCAGCTTCATATCTCCTCATTGCTGCTTGCATTGCGTTGCATTCCATTCATAAATACACACACAAAAATATTATTAAAGAGAGGCATGTACACATATAACATATACATATGCATGTTCATAAGTGCATTTTCTCAGTCATTTGGAGTGTGATTTGGCTCTGGCAGATCAAAGACTGAGACCCGGCCGGGGGTTGGGTTTCAAGAGTGAAAACTGAAAGTGAAACAAAAACGGAGATCAGAATCCAGAAAGGAAGACATTATTACCGGCTTCTTCTGCCCGGCGGGCGTCCAAATCGAGAGCCCGCAGTGATCGGGTCCCGTGCTGCTGAAGAACATCCTCCACAACAGACGCCACCGAGATTGGGAATGCTCCATCGGACGCCATATTAGGAAGAAAAAAGAAAAGAAAGAAAAGAGTCGATTTTTAACAATTTCAAATCCCCGGCAGCATGAATTTGGTTTGGTGGGTTGGGTCGGATTCTGCCAAGAAAATCTGGGGAAAGAATTGAAGGAGAAGTGGCGGGAGGAGGTGGTTGTGGTGGTGGCAGGCAACAATGGAAGTTTCTTGATCAATACTGCTGCTGCTGCTGCTAAGTGGCAGTAGGAGTAATGGAGAAGAAAGATGAATTATTTACAGGCTGACATTGTATTGCTGTCTGTGGAAATGGTTCTCCTTTTCCTGTTTCTCTGCCTCGTGGAGTTGTGAATCGTGGGCTATAGAGTATACACACCTCCCCCCGCCGCTTTATGCTTCTTGGCAATGGCATCATAACGTGCTTCTTGCTTTTTTTAGTTTTTTTTTTTTTTGAATATGAATGAATGAATATATCCCCTTCTTTCTTTCTTTCTTTCTTTCTTTCTTTTTCCCCCACTCACCCACGTCTTTCCTGTTGCTCCCCCTTTCAAAAATATATTTTCATTATTCCTCCAAAAAAAAAAAATCATACATTAGATATAAGTTTTCTCCAAAAATATGAGAAGTTTTTTAGACTTTTTTTGTATAAAAAAAATGAAGTGATCGAGGTAGTTTAAAAAAAAGCTCTGTAGCGTACGTAGTTTAATTGGTCGATCGATATGGGAACAAAAGAGCATTGTGGTCGTGTTCGACTCCAACCCTAGCAAAAACAATATGAGATGTTTTTTGTTTTGTATATCTTTACTAGGACTAAAAACTGATCTCATTCTCAATTATGTTCGATAATTTGAGATTAAACATTATATTCATTTATTTTATCTCTAGTTACTGTTTGAACCATACATGAAAATGAAAGGATTTTAGGATAGGACATCGTTCATACTAGCTTATTATATTAGGCACTACTCAACAATAGATTTCAAGTTGTCATTATACTTTTTTTTAGGTTGGAGTTCTGCATTAATCTACTCATCACATCATATATTTTTCCATTAATCTACCCATCACATCCTACTAACTTTATCCATCACATCAAATGATATTTTTGGGAAGTCAATAACAAAATACACCCCTCTTTAATCTTTTAAAAGTCAAAATGGAAAGTTTTTTGCAGGACGGAGGGAGTAGTACCTAAGGATTCATCAATTAAAAAATTCCTCATGCACTCCCACTCAAAATGAGAAAATAAAATGAAGTAGGTGGAAGGAAAATAAGATTTCTCTCATATATTTTGCTTAGAAAAAGAGTTGTTTTAACTTTATTTCCTAATTATTTGAACCAAACCAGAAGAAATACTTCAAATGTGGAATGTATGTCAACTATATATAGCTCAACTCAACTCTCACCTTTTCTAGAGTACTCAAAATTTTGATACATATCAAAAAGGGAGAATATAATGAAGATTAAGTCTCTTAGAAAATAAATAATTTTAACATTTTACTTTAACCTTTTGAGATTATTATCTAGTAAAACC